AGCTGTGTGCCCAGAATGGCGATAGGTTAAAAATAAAACATTGCCTGTCTCCTTTGCATCTGGATTCTGTCCAAATGGCATTGTTATAGACTGGGGAGAAACCAAAGATGTTCTTGTCACTGTGCTTCATTCTAGTTTAACCTGCAGGAGAGGAATTTGAAACCCTTAAAAGTATGTGATTCCAGATCTTTCTGTTAGAGACTGGACATCAGAGCTCTGAATAAGAATCCAGGTCAGTGTGCAGGGCCTACTTCTTTCTTTAAGACTTATAAAGGTCTAAATCCCCTTGGAACCCCTGTATCACATGAAGATTCCTTCTCCAAGACCCCCGCTGTTTCCATTGACCCCTGCAGCCATTACAGATTATACGGGGCCCCCTGACTGCTGTACTCCTGCATCTGCTTACTGGCACCCACTGGATCATCCCAGCTGTAAACCCAGACCTAACCAAAAACTGTTGCCTCTGTGTTGTTCTCTCAGTCCTTTTCTATCGAGCTTTAGATCTTACCCCAAATAATTCTAAACAGAGCTCAACTGGTTCTCCTGATCCCTGGTTCCAGCCTCACCCAACAGTGGTTTGGGGAAACACTTCCTACTTTTTAGGTTTCATTAAGGGCCTCAAAGCTTCTGCTGACTGTACAGATATGTTGACCATCCCCTCAGGCTCTCTGGCAGTCCACTCCCCCTGAAACTTTGTTGTGCTGATGGGTTACATCAAGTGTTTGCTGGCACCAAAATGAATCTCCATGCCCTTGCTTTTCTGGCACCTGACCTCTGTTTATGCAGCTCAACAAGACCCTGTACGTGTCCCTCCTGGCAGTTTTTCTAGGCCTATGTTATCCACATTCTGACATGCTTCCTGTCTGAATACTTTAAAACTATACACCTCTAGCTCACTCTTTTGCAAGTTACCTCTCTTTACCAGCTCCGTAGTACTGAGGGAACTGAAGAAGACGCTCCTCTATAAACAAAACAGGGGTGAACATTGGGGCACAATGATAGGATTAGTCAAGGCACAGTTATAAAACAGCAAACTTACAGATATTTCCTGGTAAAAGCTTGAGATCAGTTAGAGGCCTGTGACTGTGCTCTTGCTGCCTGTCACATAGCTGCCCTGCTACCTTCAGTCAGCCTCGACTGCCTGGGTCCAGCTGCTTTTCTTCTAATAATGCGCTGGGCCAATGTGACTATTCTCAGCTTATGTTTCCCTAACTAAGAAGATAGGTTGCTTCTAACTGGCTTCAAAGACTTTGGTTGGGGCAAAGTAACCCAGTCCAAGACACTTTCTACTCCGCCACAGCCACATGTAGGAGAATACAGCAGATTCATGAGGAGCCTGGGCCCACAGCCACACGGAATATAGTACAGCAGGTGCACGAGGAGACCAGGCCCACAGCCACATGGTGTACAATACAGCAGATACACGAAGAGCCCTGACCACAGCCAAATGGAGTAGAATACAGCAGATGGATGAGGAGCCCTGGTCCACCACCACATGGAGTAGAGTACAGCAGATGCGCCAGGAGCCTGAGCCCACAGCCACATGGAGTAGAACACAGCGGGTGCACAGGGAGCCCGGGCCCTAAGGCACATGGGGTAGAGTACAGCAGATGCACGAGGATCCCTTTTCCACAGCCACATGGAGTAGAGTAAGAGATGAACGAGGATCCCTGGCCAACAGCCACATGGAGTAGAGTACAGAAGATGCACGAGGAGCACAATCCAAGAGCCACATGGAGCAGAATACATCAGATGCAGGATGAGCCCTAGCCCATAGCCACATGGAGTACAATACAGCAGATGCAGAAGGAGACCGGGGCCACAGCTACATGTAATACAACACAGCACATGTATGAGGAGCACTGGCCACAGCCACATGGAGTATAACACAGCAGATGCACGAGGAACCCGGGCCCACAGCCGCATGGAGTATAACACAGCAGATGCACTAGGAACACTGGACCACAGCCACATGGAGTAGAACACAGCAGAATGACAAGGAGGCCTGGTCTACAGCCACATGAGGGAGAAAACAGCAGATTCAAGAGGAGCCAGTGCACACTGTCAAATGGAGTAGAATACAGCAGATGCACAAGGAGGGCTGGCCACAGACACATGGAGTAGAATAGAGCAGATGCATGAGGAGCCCTGGCCCACAGCCACATGGAGTGGAATACAGCAGATGCAGGATGAGCCTTGGTGAACAGTCACATGGAGTAGAATACAGCTAATCCACAAGAAGTCCAGGCCTGTAGCCACATGGAGTAGAATAGAGCAGATGCACGCGGAGCCTGGAACCACAGCCACATGGAGTAGAATTGAGCACATGCAGAAGGAGCCCTGGCCCACAGGTACATTGAAGAGAATACAGAAGATGCAGGAGGAGCCCAGGCCCACAGCCACATGGCATACTATACAGCAGGTGCATGAGGAGCCCGGCACAACAGCCACATGGAGTAGAATAGAGCAGATGCATGATAAGCCTTGGTCCAAAGTCACATGGAATAGAATACAGCTAATCCACGAGGAGGCCAGGCCCACAGCCACATGGAGTAGAATACAACAGATGCAGGAAGAGCCCTGCCCACAACCACAGTGGATTAGAATATGGCAGGTGCATGAGGAACCCTGGCCCACAGCCACATGGACGGAATACAGCAGAGGCACGAGGAGCCTAGGCCCACAGCCACCTGGAGTAGAATACACTAGATGCAGAAGGAAGACTGGTCTACGACCACATATGCAAGTGCCCATCACATTACGCAGGTGCAGAGAAACCGTTGTGCTTCTTATTGTGTGCTCAGTGCAAGACTTAGGGTGACCCAGCGCTCCTCGACCATTGGGGCATCTCTGGCATGGCTGCAGCTGGTTGCAGATGAAGAGCTCCCATGCAGGTTATGGAAGCTCAGTGTGGAAAGCAAAGTCGGGCATCATTAGAGTGCTCGGTCCTAATGGGAAGAGGAGTGGGGGCCTTCCCTGGCTGGTGCCCCATGGTGTGAACTGGGTCTTTACAGCACCCAGATGTCTCTGAAAACCTGTGCTTTGCCTCACAAGGCTCTCAGCCTGTTTTCCAAGAGAGCATGCAGTGCAGTCAGGCCGTGCCCTCTGCCCCTGAGGTTCCATTTCTACCCATTGAAACTCTGCAGTCCCAAGTCCCCTGGTGACATACAAACCTAAGACCGCTCCACTACACCCTTAAGAAGACAGTGCCTCAGAGAGCAAGATCTCTTCCTCCACTGGCAAACCCTATTTGTCCAGAAACTTTGCCACTTTACCACTGGCAGTGGAAGCATGCACATCTCCAGGGACCGCGCCTGCATCTCCCTTGCTGAAGAGCCCCCTCGACTATCAGCTTTCCGAACCCAGGTTCTTTTGCCATGAAAAGCCCACCGAATTCTTCTCCCTTTGGGACATGGCCTGTGCTTCACGTAGTGGGTCACCTGCCACCTCTTCCTGGAAGCCTTTTTCCACCAAACCTCCTCCTGCTCCAGGAGCCTTTTTGCTGGGCCCATGCATATGCACTTACTGTTGAGCAGGGAATTCCAGGTCTCCCAGGAGGGCCTCCGGAAAAGGCTCCTTTGGGAATAGGGGAGGGAAGTGACTGCTGGGTCCCGGCCAGAGGAGGCCTTCCTGGGATCTGGCTCTGCAGGGACCCAGGGCCTCAGCATTGCCTGCCCAGCAGACCTCACATCTGTGGGGGTTCCTGCTCCCCTCCCTGCTGAGCCAGGTCCAGGGCACGAGCACCTCCCCCTTCACAGCCACCAATGGGCGCTCAGGACCCAGTCGTCACGCCCAGGTCCCCATGTACACCCGGGTCCTCTGGTGCTGCCCCCACACCAGCTGTAACAGTGCCTTCCTCTGGGGTACAGCTGCCCATGTCCAGCCTGCAGGCGCCTTTACATGCCAAGGGCGCCTGGATGACATACACACAAATGCAGCCGACTGCCCATGTCCTGCCTGGGAGGGAAAGTGGATTTTGTGGGACCCATGAGCTGCATCTGCCTCACAGGGGAGAGCAGAGTGTGCTGTCCTCTTACATTCCATCCCCAACACCCACCCCCACAATCCCATTCCGGGAGATGGGGCAGCGGAGCGTCCCGTCCTTCCCTCCCCGTCCGTCACTGGGGTGGGCACTGTGCAGCTGACGGAGGAGGAGAGCAGCACACGCCTGTCAGTGTGCATCCGAGCTTCCTGGTTCCCAGAGAACACGGGCAGCACGGACATTCCGGTCTCTGTGACGACCACAACAAACCACTCCTGCCTTCACGAGGCAGGCACACTTCCCAGAGATAGTGACAGACGTGAGGCAAAGAGTAACTGTAGCAGTATCATATTGGGACAAGTAGGTGGCTACCGTCCCTGTGTGGGTGTGTATGTGTGTGTGCTCACACGTGCGGTCTGTGTCAGGCGTGGTGGGGTCCCGTCCTTCTGGGTGTGAGAGACACTGGTGTCTCTTCATGAAGGGCTGGTGGAACACACCGTTAGCCATTGTGTCCCCAGCCCCATCTTGTCCTGCAGCCACACCTGTTGTGTGCGGAGCTGTCACCTGCGTGTGTATAGCTGAGATCCCAAAGTGTTTCTGTTTCGAACCCTCAGTGTCACAACTCTGTTCCCTGCTCCCTTAATTAAGGACGTCCCTTTACTCATGGCACAACTCCTAGTAACCTAAGGCTGTCTTGTGTCCTCAGGAGACAAACATGTGTGTCTGGACTCTGGGCTGGGGGGACATGAAGCATCTCTCGCATGTTTCCTGGCATGCACCAGCAGGTCCAGGCGAGGGGTCAGTGCACCTAGCAGTCCTCTCCCTGTGTTCTGTGTCATCAGGTGACTCCTGTGTACTGAAGTCCTTGGCACTTTCTTCCTTAGATCCAGGATCTCCTGGAAACGGAGGTTGGAGGCCGTGCTGTGGTGGAGGCAGCAGCGAGAGATCCAAGGACTCCTGAGGGGTACAAGATCCACAGCACCGATGCAAATCTTTGAGTGATTTGGACATGAAAGCCATGGTCCCCCAGGAAGGGGCAGACTGGAAGGCCCCAGGCCCCCTGGTCAAGGAAACAGGGGAAAGGAGAGTCCTTAGGAAGTCCCTGGAGACCCTGGAGGAAATCCCACCATGGGGGGAAAGAGGGCACCGCCATGCACAAGAGGTCCCCACCTCCAAGGAGCCTCAGAAGGTTCCTGGAGAGCAAGCAAGCCCACACTCTCCCCAAAAGCAAGCGAGACACAAAGGGGGCTCCCAGGCCCGGCGTAGGAGAAGGGGACACTCAGGGTCCATGCCAGTGCCTTGGGGGAAGGAGGCTCCCCTGAGCAGGGAGACAGGCCAGAGGCACAAGGCCATGGCGCCTGCTCCCCCTGGGAGGCGAGCCAGCAGTACCAGCAGTAGCATCACGAGTGTGAGCCCACAGGCCCCGGCAACTTTTGGAATTGGGGCTCAGTACCAGGGCCTCGGAAAGCTGGACATGATGGCCATCGTGTCCCAGTGTCACCTAGACATCAAGCGAGGCCAATGCACACTCGGGGTGCAGTGTGTTCCATCCCGGCCTGCAGGAGTCGTGCCCCCTACAGCCAGAGGGCTGAGCACAGAGGTCCAGAACACCAGCCCAGGGCCCCAGGCTGCAGCTTCCTCCCCTGGCCACACCTTCCCGTGCAGTATGCAGGACCCTGGCCTGGGAGCCTCCCCAAAACTAGGATGGGAAGGGGTGACTGCGTCCTCCACATCCCCTGACCCAGCGCTGCAAGGCTCGCTGCGAGTCCTGCAGAGGAAAAGGAAGCTCCAGGCAGCAGGCCAGGAGGAAGGCCCGCCAGCTCCTGGGTCCACAAGGCCCTCACAGGCTGTCACCCAGCCTCAGCCCCAGCTCCAGCACCAGCACCAAAGAGCCAGCCCCACACCCCAGGGGCAGGCCACCAGCCTGGGCTCTACCTGCGCCCCCGCTACCATCGCCAGAGGCTCCGTGGTGTGGTACAAATGCGCGGAGCACCCCTTTTGGCCGGCAGTGGTCACCAGTGTCAGCCTCAGCCGGCAGATGGCCAGGGTGCTCTTGATCGAGGCCAACCTGTGCGGGGAGCGCAGCGGCATCCGGGTGCCTCTTGGCAGGCTGAAGCCCCTGGACTGTGAGGAGAAAGCAAAGCTCGTGCGCAGAGCCAGCAGGGCCTTCGGGCCCAGCCTCGCCTGGTGCCTCTCCCTGGTGGCCCACTACAGAGAAGGCCTGGCGCGAGGGTCTTTCCGGGGCTCCTTCCTGGAATACTACGCGGCCGACGCCAGCTACCCCCTCCGCAGGGCTCTGCGAGGAGGACCAGGTCTGCTGCCCCTGTGCTTCCCTGAGGTCCACTACAGCGACCTAGAGGACTCTGAGGAGGAGGAGCAGGAGAAAGAGGACTCGCCACATCCCAACCAGGCTCTGGGTTTGAAGGTGCCCCGCAAGAGGCTGCTGCCCGACCGCACCCGGGCCGTGAGGGACCGCACCAACCAGAAGATAGTGGATTTCATCGTGAAGACCAAGGGCACCGACTGCCACTTGCTGGACATCGTGCAGGGCAGGAAGCCATCTCGCTGGCTGGAGGCCTTCTTGCAAGAGCGCAGGTACCTCGTCTGCATGGAGACCTACCTGGAGGACGACGACCAGCTGCTCCTCGTGGCCCGACACCTGCAGCGCCTCTTTGAGCGCACTGAGGAGCCCATGCTGGCTCTGCGTGCAGTGGACAAGGTGAGGCTGGTGATGGAGGTGCTGCTACCAGAGGCTGTGATCTGCTCCATCGCCACCCTGGAGGGGCTGGACTACCACGGTGCACAGGAAAAGTTTCTGCGTGGGCCCCTGGTGCACCCTCGAGAGAAAGAGCTGTTTGACAGGAAGATCAGGAGAGAGAGGAAGAAGAGATCCAGGGCCAGCGAGGAGCTGCTCTGCACCCCTCCTAAGTCTGCGCCCACACCCTAGTGGGGAACCCTCCTCCTCAGTCCGTGCACAGAGAGGCTGTGCTCACAATAAAAGCTCTGCACCCCTCCCTCACGTGTGTGTGTGTTGTACTTGGGGTTGTACCCAGCAAAGGGGGGCACCCAAAATATACGGGTGCCCTCCAGAAGGAGTCCTGGTCAGGGATGGCAGCTGCTCTCATCACTTGGACGGCTCAGTGAAAATTCCCTTCCCATCCTACACCCACCCGAGTTCCCACCCATGAGGTCCACTTGCAGGAATGGCTGTGGGAAGGAACTTCCCCGCCCTGCATGCACCCCCTCCCTGGCTCTGCCCCACACAGAGAGGCTCCCAGGACCCCTGCCTGGACCTTGCGTGCCACAGGCTCATGGTCCTACTCCTCCGCCATATGAACAGAGGACCTTACTGCTCTATGGGGACCCGGTCCCCACTCCCAACTCCACCCCTTACCCCTCCCCGAGCTCATCCTCTGGCTTCTCAGTGAGCCCTGGCCCCTGAATCCTACAAGCCGTGCCACCCCAGCCCCTTCACCAGGCTCACAAGGTTCCTCTCCAGGTGCCCTGTGTCCTTGTCCCATGTCCAGCCCCTTGCCCTGGGCGGATCCTCAAGAGAAAGACAGGTGCAGCTGGAGGCTGTGTCCGTGCAGAAGCAAGGGATGAAGATGCGTGGCCAAGGGGACTCTACCTAGTTCCTCAGGTGCCCAGCTGCACAGGCTGCACCCTCTTTCTGAGAAAGGCCCCGGTGTCATGACCTACGGGGCTGCTCTGAGGCCAGAGCCCCACTCTCCCCCATATCCCTGAGGGGACTGGTGTCTGTTTGTTGGGGGTGGCAGGGGAGCTGGCCTCTCCTGGATGCCATCTACAGCCCTGCTGGTCATGGCTGCAAAAGGCACAGCCTGCGTCCTTGCTGAGCAGCTTCTTGGGGTACACACTGGAGGCTATGTCACCACGTGCAGGCCAGACAGACAGGCATGTGAAGTGCTGGTGGCAGCAGTGTCTGAATAGCCCAGTGCTGGGAGCCAGGAGCGGAATGCCCACCTGCATGGTCTAGGACAGGTGAGACCCCAGGGGGCTTCAAGGGGCCTAAAGTAGCTGAGCTCTGGCACTTGTGGGAGGACCTTGGGCAATGACGGTTGATGGGAAGGGAGAGCCACCAAAGCCCATACCAGCCTGGTGCCTGTCACCAGCTGCATTCCTGCTCTTCCCTCTCTTCTCCCTCTTCCACCTTCTCTTCCTCCGCCTTACCCCTGGCTTCACATTCAGCTTGGGCGCTATCTGTGTGCTTCACCAGGGCTCTCCTGCTCCAGACTAGACTGGGCTTCCATGGCTCAGGCTCCCCAGGGAGCTTCAGAATCTCTGTAAATGTCCAAAGCCTGTTGACCACTGCCAGCCTCCTCAGAGCTGCATGCAGAGGCTCAGCCATGTAGGTCCTGGTGAGTACCTGCCTGTGGTGCATGTGATCTGTGTTGTACCCCCCCAAAAAAAAAAAAACAAGGCCCCATGATGAAATACGGGGCAAGACCCCTGAGATGATAAATGGGACAAAATGATGTCTTTTTTAAAAGAAGTGCTTTTATTTTAGCTGGCCCAGTGACACAGTGCAGATGGAATTTGCAAAGCTGTGCAACTGAGTTAGAATTTTGACTGATTTTTATAGTGCATTTATGATTAGCTCATTGATCATTAGGTACATAGTGATGAGAAACAGAAACAAAGTGGGCCTTTGTGCCCCTTTGCTTGAGGTCAGAGGCATTTCACAGTGGGTGGTTAGCCAGTTCATAGCCCTTGGTCTGCCAATTTCAGGAACATTTGTCTCTCATAAAGGGAACAATGATGGTTGACACAGCACCATTTGTCTCTTACAAGGGGAACAAAGGTTGACATAGCAGACAGGTAACTTGGGGGACAACACATACAGAACAGCATGATGATGTAGTCAGTTAATTTATAACAAATTTATAACAATGTGGTCAGTGCTCCAGGTACATGGTTACTAGGACGATAAGCACAGAGCATAACAGTCTGCAGAGGCCAGGGCCAGGGCCCTTCAGGGATGGCTTTGTCTGCAGCATGACTTCCAGGCGCAACACGGAGGCTGAGAGACGCTCACCTGACTGCTGCTGAGCAGTGAAACACTTGGGTCAGATGGCGTGGCCTGGGCCCTTTGTCTCCAAACACCCAGATCAGGGCTGCCGGGTAGTCCTGGGGGATTCTCGGCCAGGAGCCTGTGCAACAGCCACTGGGGAGCCCCACTCAAGCCTTCCATCAGCTTCCTCTTGCTCTCCCTTTCCGAGACTTCCTGCCACACAGGCAGCACATCAGTGGTGTGGTCTAACCAGGCCTCCAAGGACCCTTCTCCAGGGCTGGCAGCTCCCTCCGGGAACAAACACCCAGGCACTATCCCTCACCTTCTCAGGCAAAGTGGATCACCTGACTCACGGATCAGAGCCAGCACAGCCCTGGCTGATTCATATGCAGAGCACCGGCCACACTGGCCATCTGCCCCTGTTGCTCTAGCAAGTGGAACTCTGGACCTAGAAACTCCTCACCCGACCTCTAGGGCACAAAGTCCATGTTCAAGGAGCCTTTGGTGCCTGGGATTTCCCTGGAGACCAAAGCATAGCTGACTTCCGGTGGAGCCTGACCAGGGCCACAGTGGCATGACCCTCCTCTCCTTGGAACACCTTGCCCAACACAGTAAAGTGGCCCACAGGCTGCAGGGCCAACTCCCGAGAGTCCTGGAGTTCACTTTCATCCCAGTCCTCAGGGCACCAAGGCCAAAGCATGGTCAGCACCATGGCCAGCGATTTCAGCTGCAGGCACAGGGCCTCAACCAGCTATTGGCAGGGCAAGGTTTCCTGAACAGAAGAGGCCAGAGGGGTGGGGCTGAAGGGCAGGTGGAAGGCACAGGGGTTGGCTCCAGGAGGAACACATCCTGGGAATGCAAAGAGGTTACTGTCCACCCCAACCCAAATTACACACACACACACACACACACTTCCTCCAAAGCTGCCTTCTGGAGCTAGGTCACAGCTGCACCTCCTAGCATAGGCTCCCTGGAGCCCACAGCCCTCCCCACATGGCCTCCATCCCACACAGCCCCCATCCCACACATCCAGCTCCAAACAGCCATCGCCCCCAAAAGCCCCACCGAACATAGCCCCACCCTACAAGTCCCGCCCCACCCAGCCCCAAACAGCCCTGCCCCAAAAGTCCCACCCACACAGCCCCCACCCAATCCTGCCCCCATAGGTTGCCCCAGTCCAGGCCCAGGGGAGCAGAGGGCTAGGTGTCTCCATGGACACAGTGCCCCTTGGTCCTTCTGATCCCTCTGCTCTTCCCAGGTCTGGGGTGGGACAGCTTGTTTTGGGAAAGGCAAGCTCCTTCCTGGAGCACAGCTGCGGTGGCCATGGCTTCCTCTCAGTCCCCAGCTGTCCTGGCAGGGCACGTGGGTGACTGCTCTCTGTGCTTGAGACTCCGAGTGAGGAGCGCGCGGGAAGCAGAGCACGGACCCTCGAGAGGTGCCTAGAGACCACCAGGCCTTTGATGCTCCCAGGTCACCTGGCTGGGCTAGGGCTGCTGCCCCTGCCTTGATGCCGTGGACAGGGTGCGCCAGAGTGATCAGATCCACAGCAACTGGGGATGTGCTCTGGCCAGGTGGGGAGACCTGTGGGGCTCCTTCCCCTGCACTGCTTCTGCCCATCCACACCCAGGATGGGGCCAGTCCAGTGGACAGCCTGGGTGAGGCGCACCTAGTACAGGTGATTCCCAGGGGAGACGCTGCACCTGGGCACTCTGGTGGCTCCCATAGGCAAGATGCCCACTGAGGGGCCCCCATCTGGCTGGGTGCTGCCTGGCCCTGCTAGGAGCCAGCTGGCCTGGGACCTTAGCAGTCAGCAAGTGTGCTGCAGGCTGGCCCGCTTGCCTGGCTGCCCTGGAGCCTCCGCTGGCCAACATTTGGGAGGTGGCCAGTGCCATGGATGGCCCGAGCCTTCTCCTCTCTGCCTGCCATAACCCTAGTACCCTGGAGTTAGCTGCTTCCTGGGTTTGGCGCCCAATCCCCTGGGCCTGCCTCTCCCGGGCCTCTGAGCCCCGGCTTCTGCACTGCTGTGTGCTGTGGAGGCAGCAGGATGACGAAGGAGTAATTGCCCCTCAGGCAGGGTACCCCAACTATCCCCATTCTTGCTCTTGCTTGCTGAGCCAGGACGTCCTCACCTCCATGGGGCCCTTCTGGCCCCTCACGGTGGGGCTCACCATGCCCCCGGCTCTGGGAAGCCATGTGGGGTAGCAGCGTGGGATGGAACAGGCCCGTGGCTTCCATCCACTCTGTGGTCATCAGCCACTTGTCCGGGACCACGAAACTGGGACCCCAGTGACTTTTCCCAGGTCTGACTGGATGGTAGGATGAAGGGAGCTGGGATTAAGGGCGAGTGGCTTGCAGCTAAAGGAACTGGAGGCAAGAGTAGGCCAGTGGGTCATGCCTCACAGGCCTTGGCTAAGTGCTGGGCTCTTTCTTAGGCGTTTTAATGTGAACTTATATGCTATGATTTTGAAATGAAGGACGTGTGTCTTGCATAATGATCTAAGGTGTTTTTTGCCTCAAGGCTCTTATATTGTTTATTTGCCTTTATAACTAACATTCTAAACTTCCTGGAATTATTTTTAGAACACAGGAACTTTTATAAAGCATGTAATGGTTTTCTCACTTTTTAATCAATGAAAACTTTTTTTCCTCTCCTAATAGAGTTCTGCAAGAAAACTAAGTGAATCACTGGGAGAATTGTAAGATGGCAAGGGAAGATGCCCAAAGTGGAAAGCCACCTCTGGAGTTTCTCCAGAAAGGGGCTTGTGAGTGTCCCACCTGTGGGCATCAGAAAGGACAACGGGGGACACCCGGGCTGAGGTGAAGATGTAAATGTGTTCAGTTTGCCAAGTTACTGAGCACTTATGTTACCGGAGGAGACCTGTTCCTTCACTGCACACGTCCACTCGGCGGTGTGCCTGGGTGTCACCCTATGATATTACTCACCTGCATTATTTGAGTAGTTGTGCATTATTCCACCGCAAAATAT